TGTATACCAAATTTCATTCATTTATCACAACGCGATTGAGAGATATTGCAAAAAAATGATTTCCATTCCTCCCTCTTCAATGGGTCCCTGTGCCCTTAGGAAGCATTTCCGGACCCATGTTCATATGAACTTTTTTACTTAGTTTTGATCATAGAATCGGCCTGTTCAGGATTGGCAGCTAATTATGAGACACCCTGTATTTGTATCGTGAAACATGTACTCTTGTTAACTGTCAAAGCCTGTAAAATTTCATTAAAATATTCTGAGCGGTTTCGGCAATATTTTTAAGTTTGCATTTTTTTATTAAAACTTTAACACCCTGTAGATCGGAAACTAAGCGTTTTCGGAATATGGTATATTAAGGAAATATATCACAAATCACTTGTACTATAACCTCCTGCAAGGAATGCATTGACTTACCAAACACCCTGTATAACTTTTATTCCTTAAATTTGTAGGTAATTTAATTTGCCTACAACATGAATGACTAATTTTCCAATATGTCGTCCAGATTTTCGTGAAAAAAAACACGTAAATTTGCCACTTATTTGCAGGGGTGCAATTTAGTATAAAGGTAAGCTGCGTTAAATCACCATATTTTTGGGTATCCTATCTCATAGTAATATAGTCTGAGATTCCTACACATGCCCCTGCTTTGCGTCAGGTTCTTATGCGAAACACCCTGTATCTTTAAGAAAATACCAAACCAATCACTGGAAATTAAAAACAAAAGTCATTTTTAACACAATCGTAGATAAATCATGAATGAAGATAACGATAGACATATTATCAATCCCGATATTTCGTTTAGGTGGGCATAGTTGCTGATATGCACGAAAATACCGGATCGGAGATCGTCGGGACCGTACCACAGTCCATTTTCAGTTGTCTCCAGGTTCTGGATACCTTTCTCACGCAAGGAAATGCTTCAGTAGTTTCTAGTATGGTAGCGGCACACAAGCAAGAAGCTCTATCAGTGGATAATATTGTGGATTCTGTTATTAACACCTTGGGTATGATAATGAAAAAAAAATAGTTGAATTTTGACTCGTTTGTGCTTGTCACGAAAAGTTTACTCACGTCCTCAAGTTCTCACCTTCCAGGTGTACGAGATGTAAAACAAGTCAGCTTCCAATCTACCTTAGCCGAGCTCGGTATGAATTCTCTCATAGCCATCGAGATGAAGCTAACTTTGCAGAGGGAGTTCGGAATATCCTTTTCTGCGAAGGATTTGAGGTCGATGACTTTGGCGAGGTAATATCTTTGAGAGGTGCAATACTGCATTAATTACTTACTCTCGTTTGTTTCTTTTTAGACTGAAAGAGATTCAGAAGGAAAAGAATGGGACAAGTCAAGTCGTTGAGAAGAACTGTTGAAGCCCACGTTCTACTAACATTTTTTTTTTCATTATTATAATACAAGCAATTTTGATATTTTCTGACGTATGGATAACGGTATACATTTTTTATTATTCGTGTCGAGCAGGTGTAGGCATAGAGAAAATAAACAGAAAGTGTTTCTAGTGACAACTAGTGTTTCTCTATAAATTACTATCAAGGCCAAGGTGCGATGCGACTCTACTGTTTTGAAGTGTAACCACAGCAAATTATATTTGCTGTGGTGTAACTTTGGGTTTAAGTTCAGGAAGCGGTTAGTAGATGTCTCTTTTTTTGTAATGTGATTAGGCGGTAAATTTAAAATTATATAAAGAAATTTATACTATAGCTGTGCTTTATTTTACATAAGACCTCAGTTAATCTCACTTAACTGAACTTACAATACAATAATCCGTGGCTGATTTATGATCAACTATTTATGCAAAACAACCAAGCATAATTTATTTAAGGCAAAAGTCAAATCAATGAGATTTGATTGCATAAACTCATATTTTCCTAATAAAAATATCGTGGCGTTTTTTTAATTGTTAGATGCTGAGGTTGATGATAATAACGTACCATAACTAATAAAAAATACTCATACTTACCTACACGACTGGCTTTACAAGATTTGCTATCGCGTGTGTTTCTAACTATTTTTAATGTAAGTTAAAAAGAAAAGAAAATTTTGTAATAAATTTTTGTTTATTTATTCTTGTATTTATTTGAATAAAAATGTGTTTTCACTACTTAATTATCGTTTGAGAAGGTGGCGCACGATGAAAATACACCCAACACATGCGCCGTATGAATTGCGCGAGTGACTATTACGTCCCTAGATAAAACCAATTACGTCTTTGGGAAGTAACTGGTTCACTCGAACCAGCACGAAGATCTAGCGTAATAAACCGGATCAATATTGTTTCGCCCATCTCTATCCAACTACCACAGAAGATTATTAATGTTCTGTGCTACTACGTTGCCTAGAGAAGGTTAGAAGTGAAGGTTTTATATTTTTGTTTTTTTGTGTCTGTGTTCTATTTACACGTGAAAGAAGATTGTTGCAAAGCAATGAGTGATGTTAAGGAAATTTCGTGTAGGCTTTGCCTTAAAAATATAACCGATGAAAGTTTTGAACTGATAGACAACAGTATCAGAGACATTCTAGATGTTCTTTTCCTAAAATTGGTAGGTTAGTGATTAGATCTTAGTAGTCTCAAGTGTAAAGCTGATTTTGGTATTTAATTGTTATTTTCTGTTACAGTTACTTACTTTCTGTTTATAGTTGCATATTTTTCAGAAATTTGATAACGAGAGCAAAGAGGTTATATGTAATGTTTGCAGAAGAAAGTTAAATATGGCGTCCGAATTCAAATCCACATGTCTGAATACCGATAACACAATTATGCATTATGCGGATAACGAAAAAATGTTACAGCTCAACCTAAGGGAAGTGTACATGCAGGAAAAGAAAAACGAGTTAGTTGATATTTCTTGCACTCAGAAAATATGTCGATTGTGTATGCACCTAGTAGAAAGTGAGTTTAGATGCATACATGAAGAGGAACTCGAAGCTATTGAGAAATTGACTCCAGAAATGGTATGAACGATATTAAATACTTGCATTTTATAATTTAACAAAACTGCTTTGTAGAATATAAATATCGTCAAAGATCCCGTTGTTTGTAAGCCATGCTTCTATTCTCTGTGCACTCACAACAGTTTCCTTAAAGATTGCTCAGAGGTAGAAGAAAAAATTAAAAGTATTTTTGATGGTTCAGCCACAGGAAGTCAAATAGATACGTCTCCACTTGATTTATTCGTTAAAACTGAAAAACTGGACAAGGAATTCGATATTAACGAGATGGAAATGTCGATCAAACCTGAATATGTGGACATAAAATCGGAAGTTGAGGAAAGGAGGTAAGAGAAGACTATTTTAATATTAATTTAAAAAATAGCAGCCCGTGGTTCTGATACTTCGTGATTACAGTAGACTCTCGATTAAGTCGGGGTAATAGACTAAGAGCCGGATAGGAAAATTTTCCTAATCATTTTAGGCACTGTAAGAGACTATGACTTAAATACTACAACTTAAAAGAGAACATTTGCGCACTATGCCGTCAATTCTCCATGGCACATGGGTTGTCAACAAAAAATCAAACTTTCCTATTTTGGGCCGGGTATACTAATTAAATAGAAATTGACGGCATTTCGACTCAAGACAGATATTAGAAAAATAAGACATAAACCTTATGCCGTACAAAAATAACGGTTCTGGAAAGAATAAAAAATTTTCATTTTCCAAATATTTTCATTAATGGAAAAATTTTAGAAAACTGTACGTTCCAAAAAATTGTGAGAAATGTACGGCACCGATTTTTACTTATGCTCTAAAAAGAATGAAAAATATAAGTGCTATACAAAATATTTGGCTAAAAAAAATTTATTACGTAATTGTGAGTGCTCTGAAGTTAACGCCATTTTTCTTTGGGTAAAAATCGTTATTTCCTGAACGGCATAAATTTCGGAAGCAAGTTATTCCACCTATAAGTCTTTATACAAAAGTGCTTTCTATAATTTTTACATTAGTGAAAATATTTTGAAAATAAAAAATTTGTATTCTTTCCAGAACATGTATTTTAACTGTGAAGTACATAATTATCAAGGAATCTCTGTTTTCGAGAATCTTAGACTCTTCATTTAATATCTGCTATGAAATTTTATATCCCCAATCTTTCAGGTGGTCTTGTATCTTTTTGTTACTCTAGGTCAGGGGTCGGCAAGTAATTTTAGGTGGGGTCTGGATACTTTTGTAAATTTTTAACGAGGTCCAGAAAAAAAATTTCATATTAATTACAAATTTTTTATTTTAATTTGGACTCAAATTTAATCTGCTTATTAACCATTAAGAACTCAAAACGCTCACACAATTGTAAAATATTAGAAAAAATGATCAGGTTGTCACTCAAACGTAAAAAAACATTTTTTAAATAATTTATTTAAGTAATTTATACTTTCAACAAATTTTTGGGAGTCCAGTATTTTACCTTCGGCGGTCCGGACTTGGACCGTGGTCCGCCAGTTGCCGACCCTGCACTAGGTACTCGAGCAAATGTTCGGTGCACTTGAGTGCTTGATTATGATCAATGGATGGCCTGGAATCCAATTCATCACTTGAAGATGTGGATGCATTATCATCAGAAAATTTGTCAAAAGATTTCGAGTTATTGTTTTGTACTTTCTTGACAATGTCTTCCTGTGACCGGATCTCTCTCGTAACCCGCTAACGCATCATCAGGAGGCACCCACTCCTCGATATTTTTGGTAACTGCTAAGTGCTCGCAGTTTTTGTGATAATGCTGCAAGTGGCACATTATACCCATTGTTGGAATCATCAGTCTCATCAAAATGGTATAAATTAACTGAAAGTTTCCTTCGCGGTTTTTGTAGCGTTTCTTGCTTTCTACGATTCCATGTTGTCGCTATGTCTTTAATACTGTCAAGCAATTTCGATTATTTTCAGAACTCCTTTAAATCCAAATTCGATTTTACAATTTTTTTTTTCTTTGGACTGAGAGCTGCCGAATGCCGTGGCGCTCTGGCAAATGTAACTAATTTACACTCACAATTTTTGATATCACGAGCGGTTTGCTCCCTGATGTTGTATTTATTTGCTAATGCTTTAACACTACATCCATTTTCAGGTTTCTCGATAATTTCTAACTTTTATTGAATCGTTTACGCTTAGTAGAAATTTTACGTAGGATATACATGTAATTATACGGACAACAAATGCAGCGCCACACTCTCAAAGTAGAACTGAAAACACTGCGTCATGCGTCGCTTAAGATCGCCGTTCATCACCATTTGTTTTGTTCATGTAGCACAGTAAATCCGCAAGTCTTGAAAAAGCCGTAATTATATAATGTTACTCAGTAACCCGATTAAGTAGTACCCGGATAGTCGCGAGTATACTGTAATTGTAATAATAAATTTATTAATAATGCTATTGCAGATTGTATTTAAATTATCTGTTTCTAACATTTTGTTTTTGGATTTATTGTATGACTTTATACATAACCTTAAATGCCGTTTTTGATAATTAAATTCATTATTAACCTGTAACCCCTTAAAATTTAAACCCGATTTTCAAATATACCCTGTATATGCAATTTTTTCAGCGGCACGCCACTTCAGAGTTCCGATATTGTACCATTCGAGGAGAGTGATTGTAAAGATGAAGAAGGATATGAAACTGAAAGTAAGAAATTGCTTCAAAAGCACCAGTTGAGGCGTAAAGATTCGTCGCAGGTTCAATTGTACACGTGTAAAGACTGCAATTACGAAACTAAATACAGCAATCATATGAAACAACACCAATTGAAGCATAAAGATCCTTCACAGGTTCGAATGTACAGGTGTAACGACTGCGATTATGAAACTAGATACAGGAAGCAAATGAAACGACACCAACTGAAGCATAAAGATCCTTCACAGGTTCAAATGTACAAGTGTAATGACTGTGATTACGAAACTAAATACAAGTATGCTGTCAAAAAGCACCAACTGAGGCATAAAGATCTTTCGTTGGTTCAAATGTACAGGTGTAACGACTGCAATTACGAAAGCAAATACAAGAGTGTTATGAAAAGGCACCAATCGACACATAAAGATCCTTCATTGCTTCAAATGTACAAGTGTAACGAATGCACTTACCAAACTAAATCGAGGGGTAATGTCAAACAGCATAAATTGCAACATAGAAAGCCCTCTCAGGTTCAAATGTACAAGTGTAACGAATGCAATTACGAAACTAAATACAAATATGTTATCAAAAAGCACCAACTGAAACATAAAGAGCCCTCGCAGGTTCAAATGTACAAGTGTAACGACTGCAATTACGAAACTATATACAAGAATAACATCAAAAGGCACCAACTGAAACATAAAGATTCTTCACAGGTTGAAAAGTACAGGTGTAACGACTGCAATTACGAAACTATATACAAGAATGCTTTTGAACAGCATAAACTGCAACATACAGTTCTTCTGCAGGTTCAAATGTACAAGTGTAACAACTGCAATTACGAAACCATATACGAACATGCTATCGAACAGCATCAACTGCAACATAAAGATCTTTCACAGGTTCAAATGTACAAGTGTAACGAATGCAACTACGAAACTAAATACAAGAATGTTATCGAACAGCATCAACTGCAACATAAAAAGCCCTCGCATGTTCAAATGTACAGGTGTAACGACTGCAATTACGAAAGTAAATACAAGTGTATGGTCAAAAAGCACCAACTGAAACATAAAGATCCTTCAGTGGTTCAAATGTACAAGTGTAACGACTGCGATTATGAAAGTAAATACAAGAATAACATCAAAAGGCACCAGCTGAAACATAAAGATCCTTCACAGGTTCAAAGGTACAGGTGTAACGACTGCAGTTACGAAACTAACTACGAGTGTATTATGAAACAGCACCAACTGAAGCATAAAGATCCTTCGGAGGTTCAAATATACAAGTGTAACGAGTGCAATTACCAAACTAAATACAAGAGGAATATGAAACCACACCAACTGAAGCATAAAACTAAAGACGGGAGCGGTATTGGATATCTCTTGTTGAAACAGGAAGAGTCTTTATAAATGCAAATGTACCGGTGTGTTTTGCTAACAACCGAGCATTAGGAGTCTTTGAGGAGACTTCAATTGATGCACAAAAAAAAATTCACAGGTGTGAATTATCACCCTTCATATTTTCACAAATAGAGGCAGGTTGAAACATGAAAACCTGACGAAACAGGCCAACAAGTGATATATTAAACGTGTACATTAATTTTAATCAGCGATATTGTCAACTGTGTAGAACATGTAATTAATTGTGTTACATTGGTTTCAATTTTTTTTTAAAGCGAGTGAATGTTCTGGTATGATTGTAAGCGGCGTGAAAGGCTTTACGTTTCAACGGTAACAAGGCGGGGTGAATGGTACCGACTGATAACTGTATGAATGTTCTAAACTGAGTACACACTACTCCTACTTTCCGATAACTCGGAAAGGTAAATGAGCATGCCAGGCACCTCTCTTTTGGAGTACAAATAGCTGCTCGTTGGTTTCCGCGCTGCCCTGAGGGTAGTAAAGCTGATCCTACTTTGCACCTACACAACACTGAGGATATTGAGATAAGTTAGGTAAGTAAAAACACTGTATACACTGTGTCCACCTAGTCCAATATCTAGGATAATTTAAAAAAACGTGATAATTTAAAATTTGAAAAATCGACTTTTTCAAATAGAACACCCTGTGTTTTATGATTTCATTAGATGCCTTTCTGTAGACCCTACAATTTTTTAATAGCTTTCCCTATACCTAAGTTGCGTAGTCTTTGCATTTTTATGTAAAATACCGAATTTGCGCCCGTTCCTTTGTCGGGAAAAATATAGTAAGTGTATTTATTTTTATTAAATTTATTAGTTGTCTAGCTACACTATTTAAAATAAAAATTAATAACTGAAAAATTTAGATATTTGAGTTTAATAAATAAATCTTTATGGAAAGTCACCATTTATTTGTAAATAAAATCAAAAAACCATAAAATCGCTACAAGTGATTGAGAATTAGCAAAATATGGGAAATGTTTGCTAGCAGCATGTATTTACAAAGCAAATAATCCAAATTTACAGAGATTCCCACTGTTTTGAAAATGTGAAAGGAAAGGTTTGAATGAACAGCAAATACGAGTTATGAAAAAACTACCAGGAGATATGAAAGTAACAACGATAATATTTAATTTAAAGTTGTGGCGTCTGCTGTTGAAAATACAAATATTAGTGCCAGGAAATTAATAGTAACCTTGGAGTTTTCAAAAGCTTGACAAATAAAATATTGAAGAAGTTTCATCCGTATCATATTGAAAATCAAGCACTGTTTACCATAGTTAGGAAAGTTATTAGTGAAATTGGAAATTAAAAAATTTGGATGAATAGAATTTTGAAAAATGAATACTCATAGTCGCAAGCCAACTTAAAATAAATGTTCAAACTGTCCACTGTTGTCTTCTACACAAAGCATTAATCTACGATGAAAATGAATGTGGACATTTCTTAACATTTGAGGCATTATAATTAGAAACTCGTTTTGAATCTTTTCTTTTAAGTCTTGAATATCCGTTGGTGGTACTTCGTATACTTGCTCCTTGATATAACCCCACAAGAAAAAGTCCAGACTATTTAAGTCGGGCGAACGTGAGGGCCAAGGAACTGGACCACCATGACCTAACCACTGGTTTGAATATATGCGATTTAGGTGTTCTCTAACCTGAAAGATAAATAGTTAATAGGAAAAGTATAATAACAATGAAATAATCACATTACAGCCACAGGAACGGGCCCAAATCCCGTATTTTACATAAAAATGGGATTTTTGCAAAAACTATGCAACAGGTATAGGGAAAGCTATTAAAAAATTGTTGGGTCTACGGAAAGGCATAAAACACAGGGTGTTCTATTTGAAAAAGTCGAGCTTTTTCAAATTTTAAATTATCAGGATTGGCACAATTTCCCCCCCGCCCCCTATATATCGCAGGTCAACTTTTGATGCGTTTTTTGAAAAAGTCATCTTCACTCTACAGTTACAAAAGTAATTTCTAGCTGTCATACAATCATAATTATGTCAACTACTAGAAGTGACGGAAAACTATCAATATTTTAATAGGGATCATAACACAAAGTTCCGTTAATTTTTCACGTAGAATTCGATAATGCCATAAAAAATATAGGCTTCCATTTACTTTACTCTTTACTGTTTTTACCTTTTCCAAATTTTTGAAAACCATGTACATTAAATTGAACAAATGACTATAATATTGTCAAAGGCTTCTGAACAAGCAAAAATTCTTATGAAGAATAATTTTTTTTGACAATTGAAATTTTGTATCCATTTCAAGATACAACCCACAACAAATTATAATTGAAATTTTACAGACCGAATCTGACCCTTGTGTACTATTTACATAGATATTATAAAAATGAGCAACTTCAATTTATTTATCAACCAACACGTGTTTGGTAAAATAGATACACTAATGTGCTTAAACCTTTCAAAAAACAATTTAAAAGAATATTCCTAAATTTATATAAGTAAAAATTTAACATTAGCCGTGTTATTCCTGCTCATGCTCGGAAAGAATAGCCTCATACGCAGGTGAGATCTTGATATGTCATCGCTATCATCCAAATTTAAACATTTAAATAAAGGGCTTATTTATTTGCCTATTATTTGGCGTATGTGACGTTACTACTATTAACACTCGGACTGGGCTCAAAATTTTTAAGTATAAAAAGTTCTACAACTTTTGCCTAAAAAATTTTTCTCGTAAAAAAAAACTGTTGCGAACTTTGGACGCCATTTTGCAAATGAAGCCCTAACATTCAGCTGGGGTAAAGTAGTTCTTTCAATTCCACGGAATTTTTCCTAATTTTTACGTTTCGTTACTGAACTGAAAAATCTAATTTGATTGAACTAATATAGATCAGGGGTTGTACTCTGTAATTTTCTTACAATGCTATATATAGCTATAGACACAAAAAAATATCACAAGATAAAGTGTAACTTTTACAGAAACATTTTTGTTTGATTTTTTGTGACATTTTAAGTAAATCTGAATAATATTTTTGTTATATTAACGACAAATACTAAAAAAAAACAGCAGGAGTCAGAGTCCATTTGCCAGAAAATGTTCAAATTATCGTAAATCTTAGTAATTGTAGATCTGATATCACGGCTTATCATAAGAAGCAAACTCAATATTAAAATCTTCATTATAGGTAACTATATGGAATGGTTTGAAATGGCAGTGATTTGAACTAATTTGTATGCAGAAATCACAGATGGCGCAAGCAATCAGCTCTGTTTCAATCTTCCCTATTCACTCTCACCCCCATGGTGTTGCTCCTAACGTATTTGATTTTAGAAATACATTCACGTCACTACTAGTTTTCAAAAATTTGAGATATTGGGTTGTTCGTTATGCAACCAGATATACACTATATACGTTAATTGGGTCTGTTCCATAAACCTCAAATCAATTGCAGAGATGCAGAGTAAGAGATCCAATGGCACAGAACATAAGAAAACGGATGCGTTTGGTCTGAATTATTGTCCAATCAGTAATTACATTGATATTTATACAATACCCAAACGCGATTCTGATTGGTTTTTAGTCTATAACAGACTACGAGCGATATGTAATTTTAAATATCCATGGTGAGACCGAGTACATCCTTTATCTAAGGTGAAAATGTACTAGATTTGATAGTAGGGTACTACTAGTAGGTAGGGTACTAGAGAGAGAGGGTAGTGTACTTTTTTGTATAAAAATGTACTAGCAAGAACATCACTGGTTAGTACTGTTGAGTAAAGTATTAACAGAAATGGTATCGATACTAAATTTACTTGGTATTGAAGGAAACATCGATGCTTGTTTCGCGAGACATTCCTAATTAGAGATGGGAAATTCGGCTCATTTTGTTGAACCGGCTTCGGATCCTCGTAGGGAGCCGACTCATTTGAGTCGAACTTGTCATAATTATTCCTTCCTTTTTTAGTACACTGCGACCTGTGTACCAGTAGGAGTGAACGCGCTGTGTTGCTCGCTAAATAGTATTTATTTGGCACACACATGAAATAATTTGTTTAACAGCTATGTATTATATTTATACAATGCTTTTTTGTCCATTACCTATTGGCGATAAGAAAAAATATGTAACAAAGACAATAAGGTGGCGCACGATGCAAATACACTCTACACCTGCACTGTCTGAATTGCGCGAGTGTGCGTGAACTGTTCACGATTTCGTCTTTGGTACGTAGAGCCGGTGTAGTGAGCCAACGCAGTGTTATATCTCCCATCTCTATTCCTAAACTATGCACTACGCAGCCGTAAGCGTAAGAAGCCAAGGTTAGATTAGAAGTGACGAAGTGACATCTTTATATTTTTGTATCTGTTCTATTTATATCTAAAAGAAGATTGTTGTACAGCAATGAGTGATGTTAAGGAAACGTCGTGTAGGCTTTGCCTTAAAAATATAACCGATGAAAATTTTGAAGTGGTAGACAACATTATCAGAGACATGCTAGATGTTCTTTTGCTGAAATTGGTGAGTCATTCAAATATTAGATTAGATCCTAACAGTCCCAAGTGTAAAGCAACTTTTAGCATTTAATTATTAATGTTGCACATTTTTCAGAAATTTGATAACGAGAAGAGAGAGGTTATATGTAAAGTATGTAGAAGAAAGTTAAGTATGGCGTCAGAATTTAAATCAACATGTATGAATACTGATAAGGCAATTATTCCTTATGTGGATAGCGAAAAAATGTTACAGCTCGACCTAAGAGAAGTGTACACGCAGGAAAAGAAAAGGGAGTTAGTTGATATTTCTTGCACTCGGAAAATATGTCGACTGTGTATGCACCCAGTAGAAAGTGAGGTTAGGTGCATACGTGAAGAGGAACTTGAAGCTATTGAGAAATTGGCTCCTGAAATGGTATGAACAATATTAAATACTTGCATATTTTGTAATTTAACGAAACCGCTTTGTAGAATATAAATATCATCAAAGATCCCGTTGTTTGTAAGCCATGCTTCGATTCTCTGTGTACCCATAACAGTTTCCTTAAAGATTGTTCAGAGTTAGAAGAAAAAATTAAAAGTAACTTTGATAGTTCAGCCACAGGAAGTCAAATAGATACGTCTTCACTTGATATATTCGTTAAGACTGAAAACCTGGATGAGGCATTTGATATTAACGATATGGAAATGTCCATCAAAGCTGAATATGTGGACATAAAATCGGAAGTTGAGGAAAGGAGGTAAGGGAAGACTATTTTAATAGCAATTTAAAAATATCAGCCTATGGTTCTGATACTTCGTGACTTATGTGATTGAATATGTACCATCCTATGATAAACTATCAAATTCTGAGTTTATATCAGTTATAAACGGTATCATATAAATTTTTAAACAGTCGTCAAGAGTTAGGTTAGCAAATTATTGGGAAAAAATGTAAGATCATTATAAAACAATCAATATGGCTTTAAATCAGATTTTGGTTCAACGAATGCTATACTAGATTTCATTCATTCATTAAATTTTTTCAACTTGGGACAGAAATCGCAATTTTCTTTGAACGAAGAGCATAGATCTCCCCGAGTTAATAAAAAAATTAGTGCCATAGACCACCTAGACTGGCTGTATCTAATTATTCCAATGCACGAGTACCACTGAATGAAAATTGCGGGGAAGTGGAGTGTGCAAGGTAATCTGAACACGCATACTTAGAACAGGTCCAGATTAAGTAATAATAAGTTTATTTACAAAACGACATAATACAAATAATGCTAGAGATTATTAAAATTGATAATAAATAACAATAAACAATTAAAATATAAGTAAATATACTGGAAAAAAGTCACTGAAGCAGTTCTGCTACCGCTTGTGTGTGACTAGTAAAACGATTTAAAATTGCCATGTTGTATACTATGCACATTTAATCTCAAAACTTACAGTAGTACCACACAATACATATATACATATATTTCTAATACCCAACGCCCAACATTACATCACAATGAATTATCTACTTATCATTATTTTAAAAGAGCTTCAAGGTAAAAAAAACTAAACTTCATTTCTATTGCTGACAATATTGTGAAAAATACATCTGTCTG